AGAGGAGGTGGGGATGGCTGCATCGAGGCCCCACCTGTACAGAACCATGCAGGAGCTCCTCAGCCCCTCCCAGTGGCACACTGAGCTCTGGGCGTCCTGTTTAGACCCTCTGCTCAAGAAACTGCAAGGAAACAGCCTCAAAAATGCACCATTTGAAGTGCTCTCAATATCTAACTCCATTCATCTCTCTTTTTTTTAAAAAGTTTTTTTCTAAGTGTATAATGGTGTTTGGAAGCAGAAGTTCAGATTCTCCTTCTGCCAGGACTTCTTCTCTTTATTTTGGTCAGAACTGAAAGCTAATTATTTCCTGCTTCAAGAGCAATAGAGTGTTTATTGGAATGTTCCCTACAAACCTATCAGAAATGTTATAGCTCAGTAATAAATGAGCTTCCAATTAATTAAATTTAGCTCTCCATATAGACAGATCACTCCAGAAACTGTTTCTTTTTTTCTTCCTTCTGTATCAACATGAGTTCCTACAAAGCAGGAAGGAGGCATTCACTGGAGTTTAATATAAAATACCATGATTGCAGAATGTTGTACTTATGGTGAAATTCATCCTCAGTGAATTAATGTTTAAAACTAAATAGATATATTATTAGTTTCACTCCTAAAATGTAATTTCTTTTGGTACAGACTTTGCACTCACTTTTTCTTTTATTTAAGTATTCTAAAATTGGCTGTGTAAAATTGGAGCTTCCATCATCCTATAATTTATGCTGGAGAACATAATTCAGAGCAAAAATTAACAACAGCAGCCCCTGTAGATAGTGTGGTCAAACTGATCCAGATTTTGTTAATGGCTCTCTCATCTGATTTACCATTGTACATGATCCTGTCATTCTCACATGCAGCCTCTGCTGCCTGTCCAGCTGGGAAATTTCAGATTCGTTCAGAGTGGCAGAGTTGGAAGGACAAATCTGCTCAAATTCAATAAGAACAGAACAGCAGCAAAACTAAGAACTGGATGAAAAATTTAATCCAGGGTTTTAAGCATGTGTTCTGTCTTGGTAAAGATAATAGTTGTTGATTACTTGAAGTTTTACTAATGTTGGAGTAACATGGGAAAAATGACTGGATTGCTTTCTGAGATGCAAACTGAGTCACTTGTGGGCATGCTCATACTGTACTAACTGTACTTGCTTTCTGTGATCATGCCAGGTAAAAATAGGAATGCATAAATATTTATGCAGAATATTGCTAAAAGAGGCACAGCCAGAGCCTTGCACAAGCATTTGTATCAACACAAGTTCAGGGCATACTCATCCCATAAAAGGCTGCTGTTTGTGAGATAAAAGAGGAGATTTAGACTCTGCAATTCTCCAGGTCTCCATTATCCAGGTGTTTCTGCAGTCCAACACCCACAGTTAGCAGGAGTGGTTGTACTGTTGTCACAGAATTTATGAGGCATGCAGAGATATTAGTCATACACATAAGACATAGAGCCCTTTATTAAAAGCTGTTAGTGGGCAACTAAGTTATGTGGATTTTTTAAATTTTTATGTTTTTAATCAATGTGAATTTGAAATGCCTGGTACTTTTAGAAGTTATGGCTTAGCTGTGTTGCAGCCCTACCAGCCAGGCCATAATGCAGAATGACATCTGGGTTAGAGAAGAGCTGCTACTGCACCAATTGTCCATATAGATTTCTATTGAATAAACTCCATTTCAGTGTCTAGATACATTGACACCAACTATTTCAACTTTAAATGTTCTGTCCAGAAGATTACAAATGCTGATGATATTTAATATGACATTTTAAAGACAAAAGGCAGCCATGCTGGGCAGAAGTGATGGGTTAGGAGAAGGACACCAGAGTGACACAATTAGTTAAAGGTTGAAAAATAAGAGCTGCTTTGTGACACATGTATGCAGAATAACATGGAAGCTTGTTACCTTCTGAGTTACTGAGTTCATAGATTCTACAAATTATAAGGTTTATAAGGCTTAATCTAAAGTATTAGATGGTTTTGCTGAGGTGAATTTTGTTTGCACTACAGCATGCCTCTAAGAAAAAAAAAATCCAAAATTTAAAAAACCCCAAAGTCCTTAAGAAATCCAGAAAGGGCTGCCAGTAATGTGAAATGTGATAGATATTAAGATATTACCTCTTTTCCTCTGTGTGTCTCTCCCTCCCCCTCCCCAGCTCAGAGGTGTGGAAGGTACCAGAGTCTGCAATTCTCTGCCAGGTATCAAAGGGGAGCTCCCCCATCTGAGAGCAGGGAATGCTGAGCATGATTCAGCTGGGAGGGAACATCCTGTGTGCCATCATCAAATGATGAAAGCTGTGGCTCTGGATTGTACTAGCCTTTGAATCTCCTGCTTTCAACCCTTTTGAGGGAAAGGCTTTGTGTATTTGTGAACCCACAGGCACGTCCTTTTGAGCTATAAGGTTGTAGATGATTTTCATGCTGCACAAGTTTTGTGTGACTAAATTCACTACCATGAATGTCTGGGAAGTGAATGCTTGGGACTAGAAATAAAACTGGTGCCAAGAGTCCAGCTAGATAATAACTGTGTAGGGCTTCAAACCTCCAGAGTGTGCTTAGAAGCATCTTACAATGGACCACAATTTTTTTAAATCACTTTCACTTTGTCCCTTGTGCAGCCATACAATTAAAAAGTAGGTTATTATCCCTCTCAAAAACATATCAGAGGTAGCAGGAAGGGATACTCTTATTTAGCAGAGTGAATGGATAGAGTAGGATAAAAGAGAAACCCATCTGAATGCTGCTCTTCAGCTCTCAGTGAATGTGAATGGAGATTTTGGGGACTTGGCAGTGTTTTGTTCTGAAGGTCAGCATGCAAGCTACTGGATGATCTTTCTGTTTAATTCACTTGGATATTTTGCAGATCTGATGTTGTACTGAGGCTACAAGAAGCTGAAATATGTAAAAATAAATGGCATATAATCTAAAGCCATGCAGCAAGTGGCTGTTTCCAAGGTCCACCCAGTTTTGTTAGCTCTAGACTGCATTCCTTGCTCCTAAACCATTTCAATGCCACTGTGCAGTCCAACAGAAAGGTCTGACTTGCAGTGCAATAAGACTACATCAAAGTTGTGTTTCATTAAACTAAACCTGGGGATTACTAGAAATAAGTACAGCATTTCACATTGTGGTGTGGAATTCATTGCAGATCTTTGAAAAAGTATTCTTGATAACAAATATGAGAGAGAGATTACTGAGAAAGCAGATGCAAATGCTACTTCATTGCTTTCTTAAGCCTTGGTAGTGAAAAGTCAACAACCAATACAAGTGCAATTAAAACTTGGGAGTCATACTTATCAAAAGAGTGAAGCCTCCAAAACTGGCATCAAAGAAGTCGCTGCTCAGTGGGTGCCCAATGTCAAGGATTCAGCCTTTGGACATAAAACACAGAGTAAATGGGATTGTAAACAAGTGGCACACAAAGAACACAACAGCACAGTTCTATATGTTTCATTGATTAGAATAAAAAGAAAAAAAAATCCTAAGGCTTGTGATCCTGAGTTTTGAAATGTTTCAGACTAGAAACACTCTTATTTGAAGGGGAACTCTGCTGCAACACTTCCATTTTTGTGGAGTATAACCCAGTGTTTCTTGGATGTCATAAAAATCATTTTGTTTTTTCAAAATATTTTTCAGAGATTCAGCTTGAAACTGCAAGCTGATGTTCAGATATTTTTTTCCTCTAGAATGTGGCAGTTATGAAGAAGCAGAGTTTATTCTGTGTTCTGTTGATCACCATAGTAACCTGTGCTCTCTGTATTTAATAGGGAACAAAAAGTTATTTATTTGACAGGGATGGAGTTCTGGGAAGCAATGGTTTATGAACACTGGCAAAATATTTTAATGGGACTATTTGCTTCTCAAGTTGTTAATGTGTACCAGTAATTTGCTCTTTATCTGTCATGAAGACCTCAGAATGTGGAATTGATTTAGTTAAAAGGTGTTCATTACAGTTACAGCTATTTTCTACTCTCAGCAGTTTTTAAACAAAGCTGGACAGTGCCCTGTTCAGTCCTGATTGTTTACTTATATGAAAAGCACAATAAAGGTATCTTGCTTGCTTTTGGGCTTCTTTTGTGTTCTCAGGAACCAAAGGGATTCCTAAACTGCAAACAAAAGAACAACTGACAGTTATTTATTGAAATCATGCTGTTTCACATCAGCACAGCTTCATTTTTTTTAAGCCCAAAGGGTGAGATTGCCCACCAGTTTTTAATTGCTCCTTTATTGGTGCAAATTGATTTATTTTACGAAATTACTTTCAGCGTGCTAATTGATCTTTTTGCCTGCTTACTTTTAACAGGGATCAATCCATTGATCTGCCTCACAGAAGCAGCCCCACAAAATGCAGAGGGGGCACAGATGGGGCAAAAACTGGTATCCAGTGTGGGGCAGAGGAACCTGAAGTGGTTTTTTTACCCATCCCCTTGTTGTGTGGGACTGGCATCAAATCTGCCTTTGTACTGAAACTTTCCTTGAGCAAATTTTGTCCCGGGGGAAGCTGTAGGAAACCAGGGTGGCTGCCCATGCAGGTTTTCCTTTGTGAAGAGACTTTCTGCACTTTCAGTACCCTGTGGAAACACATTGTGATGTGACATATTCCCCAAAAGGTTTACAAAGGAATCCATCAGGAAAAGATGAGCTCATTAAACTTCTCATCTCTACCTGAAATGAATACTTCATTATCAAATATCATTATTGTATAGCTATAAACCACTTAATTTTTCCTACCTTTACAATTTACCTAAAGCACAATTACAAACACATATTTTTAGGCAATGTCCAGTCCCTCATATACTCTTATATTCTACCTATCTTTTCTTAAGCATTTTATCATTCTGCAGTGAACCATATTTTACAGTGAACAGAATTTTAAAGCTTGAATTTCACCAGTCCTATAGGAATTGTTTTCCCCAGAAGACTGAATTTATTTCTTCTAACTCAGGAAGAATTTTGATGTTAACTCTGAGATATTAAATGTATCAAAAACAGAAAAGGAAAGTACAGCTATTAATTCAGAATTTTCATTTTATTGGAAGCACAGGTCCAGTAATTAATATACTTATTTTATACAGTTAAATATACATTATACCCTGCAGAAGCAGATGCAATCAATACCAAGCAGCAAGCAGAATGTGAGTATTGATTGTACAAAACCCCCTTTCACACTCATGTTATCAAGGAGCTTTTCAAACCTCTATTCTTAGGAACACCATTTGGAGGATTGTGCATATGCATGTGTAAAATGAACTGCTATTATGACTTCATCTGTGTGTGTGTTGGCACTGCAGAGAGTTTTGCTGAAGTAATAATTTGAGGCAGAAAATTGGATCACAGAAGCACAATCCAGATGGAATTGCTGAGTAAGTGCATTGTGTTTTTTCCCTCTTGTAAAGATATTAAATACTATACCTGGGTAATATTTCATAAATACCACACACAGAGTACTTATGAGACAGATAAGGCAAGGCTGGTAGCACAAGCAAAAATCAGAGGAAATGTTACCTGTGATAGATGCATTTTTCTACCACAAGGAGCTCACTGGGAACGCAGAGGTTTTGCCTCAAAAACCAGTTAAGTAAAATTTTAGCAATGCTTTTTAATTCTAAAACCTTCAGAATGCAGGGGGCCTGAGTATGATGTGATTGATGCTTTAACTTCAGAGACCAGGTTCAGAATTTTCAGTGGCTTTATAGCAACCTAATACTGCACCAACTCCACTCTAAATGTTCAAAGATACAGAAGTCTCATTTCCAGGTTTATTTAGGGTAAGTCTATATAGGCATGTGCACAAAGAGACAGGCTTTCACTGGGTTCACTTTGAGATGGCCAGCAAAAAATAGCTCTGAACAATAGTCCAGAACAATCATTCAAGATCACAAATCATTCATGAACAATATAACTTTTCTTAAAATATTAAGCCCAGCTGAGCTGACCGAACAGTCAGGACCAGTCCAAACACTTTAGCCAAGTGCACAAGCACAAGATTCTTGTCTAACTTAAAGCACAGACAGGTAAAATTTCAATTGTCCTTGCAGCTTTATCTGCAAAACAGGATTACAAAATCTACCTTTCACAAAGCTGGGATGCATTTAAATTATGTGATATTGGATACATTGGATACAATATGAAAATCTTGGATGGGAAACTGCATAAATGCAAAGCATTAAATCATTAAAGCCCACTGTTTATGCTCTCACATTCTGATGATCAATGTATGCTTACATCCTTTTTCCAGAAAATAAAATAGTTATTCCTGAGGTAATGGTGAACAGCTTGTAGAGAACTCTCATATAGGAGTTGAGCATAAATTATGCAGCAAATAATTTATAGATATTTCATTTCCTTTGGAAATGTCATCATTGGAGAACACTGGTGACAGATATCACACACAATCCACCTTTTGTTAATTTACACAGAGCCACAGTACACAGGTCACACATACCAAAGAGAAGACTTTAGCTCAAGAAAAGAAATACAACTGTAAAATGGATTTGCTTGCACAAAGGCATAAAAGTTATCAAATAAAGCAGGAAAGCAATATTGATTTTGATATAGGCACCCCTAAAGATACAGGCTTTGCAGAGTCAATAGTGTCTTGATTTAGGTTCTAACCCAACCCCAAAGTCTCAGACTCGGCTCCATCCACTTATTGATTTGTCTGGCATGCTGGGTTGGTGTTTTTTTGTTTCTTTTTTTTTCCAGAAATGCTTTTCTGCTCTCAAATTTTAGCTAGCTCTCCCAGAAGAATGTCTAATACAGTCACAAAGAGCAATTCTGTTCCTTACAACCAAGCTATTGACTATGGTAATAAAAGGAAAGACAGAAGTCATGTCAGCTTGGCTTCTCACAGGACCTCACAGTGCTCCTTCATTCAATAACAATTATGTAATCAACAAGCAATGGGTAATGAATTGCAAAATATCAGCAGCCCTTCATTTTCTATCAGGTATGATAAAAACTTTATAAAGTTGGGCACTTCTTGAGAAATAAACCACCTTATAACTATCACCAATGCATCAGTTCTTTGATATTTTGCTGCATGCAATATCTCTTCTATTTTATTTTTTTTCTCTCCTGCTACCTGACATCTAAATGCCTATAATTTTAGACATAAAGATCACATGTCATAAAAAAAAAAGATCCACAGAAAGAGAGCTTCAAAATGTTATTTTTGCCATTTGTAGGCAGTTGTTTACCTGATGTGCATCTTCAACACCTTTGTCTTTATATGGGGAGGAAGGGGTTTAGATAAAAGAGCACAAAGAGATGATGCAGCTCCTTTAACAAGCCTTAACAAATTTGTTTCTTATTAAATTTCTACACTAAAATTGAAAACCTTTAGGTAGGGGAAAAGAATCCCTGATGATGAATTATCAAGGAAACCAATAGAGGAAATAAAGCCATGCTTAGAAGAGATTAAACAAGTCATAAAGTTTTTCATAAAAGTAGGATGCAGGAAATAGAAGGAGACATAAGTGATTGATTGAGGTGCAAATGTATGTGTGGGCAGGAGGAAAGCAAAGGGTAAATTTGTCTGGGGAGTAAATCCATTTAGGTCATTATAGTTCAATATGGCCATGATCCAGCAAAACACTTGAGCATATGCTTGGTTTTAACATGACTCACTCCCAAAAGCTGAGCTCTGCTGACTTGTTCAGACTCAGGTTTGAGTGTGATTTCATCAGCATCCTCTCTTGAATTGTGTCACCCCTCTTGAAAGCCTGTAAGACAACAAAGTGAAGGATGGAATGGCTTTGGATGGGTTATCTACCTGAAGAATCCATCCTGGACACAGCAAACAGCACACTCTGCTTTCTGTAATGGAATGGGCTTAGAAATGGAAACCTATTTTTGCAGAGGCTGACAAAGAGGAATGTCAATAGCAGCCAGAAGGGATGGGACATCAGGACGTTACAAGCTTTTATTTAATGGAAAACCATGCTGAAATTTTGAGACATGGCACATGATAAGCTGATGTAAATGTCCCAAAATTACCATGCCTTTAGTACTTATTTGTGTGGTTCCATCAGTGGTGCCTGTGCTTGCAGGCTGCAGGGTCCCAGTGGAAAAGGACCAGCCCAGGACCATCCCCTGTGCCACAGGAGTGCCCCAGGACAGGGCAGAGCAGCTCCCCCTCTCCAAAGTGCCTCTCTGAGGACACTTTATGTTGCAGCCATTAACTGCTGATAACAAATGAGTTCTTTGATTGTTCTTTCTACCCCAAGGTTTGGTGACATTTCTGGCCAGGGCAGAGGAATGATTTTGGGAGCAATCTCACTAAATCTATGGCTCTGACCCATTAATTTGAGCTGATTATCTTGTGAAGAGACCAAAAGTTTAAATTTTTAACCCATCTTCTCATCTGTAGGAGTCCATTCTTTTTCCTCTCTAAGCTCCAATCTTACATTTTCTAGGGCAGGAAGAAATAGCATCCTGGCTTTTCAGAAATGAACAAAGTAGAAAAGATTAGATACACAATACAAGTCAGCATCACCAGGTACCATATTTATTTTTCTTAACTCCCTTTCCTGGGAAATAGGAATAGAAGGATCACAGCTTTCATTAAACAATAAAATTAATTTATAATTCTCAAGATTTCACAGAAAAGCATTAAAACATAATTACTGCATTGTCACCACAAATATCACTTTGACTTCTTGAATTTTCCTCACTTTTGAGCAGTCTCTGAGGATGCAACAATTGACTTATATAAGCAATTTGCAGAATAGAGGGACCTGTTCATCTAATATGTCACAGAGTTCATTTTCCTCTAGGAAGCTTTTGCACAAGAGCAAACATCTACATATTAATAAAACTAGTATCTTCACAAGGTATTTTTTCAATTGCTGAATTTTATTAATAAGCTACTAAGTAAAAGGTTTCTTTGAAACAATTCAGAAGTTGAAATTAAAATTGGTGTGTCATTTTCAGCATTTTTATGTTTCATTTATTTGTCAGACTCTCAGTCAGCAAGATGAGGTGGGTGATAATTATTCAGGGTTGCCAATTAACCTACTTAGCAGGTCACACAGGTAACTGGCATAGATTGTGTCAAATCTCATTACTGGGATAATAATTTAATCACTCAGTGCATTGACTGAAGGCCAGAGAATTGGGAGAATAAATTAAACAGGAAAATAAAATTAGTAGCTAGAGAAGCATTATATTTAAATACATGAAAACAGTAAAATGTTAAAGCATGCTACTCACTGGTAGAAACTCAGTAAAGTCTGGAAAGGGGTCTGGGGGTACTGAGAGTGAGGGTTTTCAACCACAACTTCCAGCATGAGTATCACAAAGGGTTCTATGTCATCTTGCTGCTGGGAATGAAGGGCAGCTAAGCCATGAGGAGGGCGTGAGCACGTGTGTTATTCTCTAGCATTTAAATAGATGTGCAGTGCAATTACCTTGGCTGCAGTGTGAGAGCCCAGCCCTGCCCAGGCACTCCTGCTTTGGGAGCTCTGGGTGACAACCCTGGCCTCTCGCCTCCTCTGCATCCCAGCCTTCTTCAGCTCTTTGTGCCTGCATTCAGAACAATGACAAAGGAATGTCAAGTAAGAAGGCCACATAATGGATAAAATAATCTTGCAGGATCTGTCAAAAAGGACAGGAGAGATGAAAAAATTACAATAAGTAATTGTCAAAGTCATGGAGTCTGTGAAAAAGCTTCTTCTGTACAATAATGCTCTGCATTTACAAGGTGACTGAGTACATGAGAGATAGGAACAGAAGAGTCTGCCTGGAAGTGGAAAAACATTTCCTGTGCAGATGGAGAAAAAAACTACTGGAAGGAACAATAACATCTTTCAAGGTGGTTTTATACATACAGGTTACATATGAGCTTGAAGCTTGTATCTGCTTTGGAAAGAAATATAACCTTTTCTAGAAATTATCAAAATTTTATAATTCAAAATATAGACTGGAGGAAAAAAAAAAACACACAAAACATTATTAATGCCAAGACTTGGCTAGTCCTGCAAGTGTTAGGTGTGAGGTGTAAGGTGTCCCACAGCACAGACAAAAGTACATGCAACTCCAGGAAAGATGAGAATATGGTGAACTTGCCCTTGTCTTCATGGTCTGTTTCAATGGTTTACTGTCTGCAAGAACAAGAGGGCTGTAAAAGAAGCCATCACTCCTCTGAGCAGTGGATCATTCAGTTTAAACATATCTCATAGATGTTATAGCCAGGAATTACAGCACACTGAGCACTGCTCCAGGACCTGTAATTTATTCACTCAGCAGGGAAAAAAGTGACTTCCATAGCAGCACTTTATAGGCCTGTAAAATAAAAAACAACCAGCATGAAAAAAATATCCAGTGGGCCAGGAATGAGTGTTGGTTTGGCAAGGAATGAAAATTTGGTTTGGTTTTTACAACAATGAGCAAAACCACATGCTTAGTGGATGTGACCAGATCACTTATTTATGCTGTCAAATATATTATTTTGAATCATAAATTGTCTTGTTACTGAAAGAGAATACACCATAGCAGAAAGGCTGAGCATATCTATTCCAGTTCTGGAATTACAGAAACAACATGCAGCTCTTAAATGTCATTTTACTTGTTCCCACAGAATGTAAATGCTATAGTAGTCAATAACTTCTTAGACCTTCTTTTTTTTGTTTTTTTTAAAGACTAAAGCAGGGCAGCACTATTTGTGGATGCTACCCACTAGCTCAGGAGTGCTAGATAACAGAAACTGCATGCAGAAGAAAAATCACTTCACCTAATTAGTAGAAAACCTAACATTGATGAGCTAAACTTTCTCATTAAATTTTTCCCTGATAAAAAAGCAAAAAGCTTAAAGATAATAGATTCATTTATTTAAACATAAAGCAAGAGCTCAAAATCCTGGATAAATTCAGTGTAAGGGCCTCTCAGGAGATATCAGCAGTTACAGAAGACCCACAGCTACCAGTCTGCTTTTCTGGTTCTTGTGAATATTTTCAGTGTTTTCAGCTCATTGCTATTTTTTATATATTATGTACAAAAGTTATAAATGGCTAATTAAATTACACAGGCTACAGTCACAGACAAGAGTGACAGTGGATTAGGAAACTCCATCAGAATACTGAATATTTCATTACCTAGCTATCTAGAAAAATCAGATGTTATAAATGCTTTGATAAGGCAAAAGCATTGTTGACTCATTCATTTCCATGATGATCTAGTGAGCCTTCCTCACAGAGGTTAGCTCAGGGCACTAATACAGCCTCAGCAGCATAATTCCCATTTTGGGAACACAGGATATGTCCTGAGCAGGGTTTTCAAGCCCAAGAGTGAGCACCAGTGTGGATCTGGAGTTTCCTGCTCTGCTCTGCTGTCAGGAACCACTGCAGAGACTGGACACACAGGAACTGCATCTTCTTCAAAGATGGATTTTTCAGCATGAGAGCAGCTCTGAGTGATCTCTGGGGAAAGGAGCAATTAAAGACTTTTGGCTTCTCCTCACTTATTACATTTTCTACTGAAATAATGTTTCCTATTGTTCTCTCATTTATAATTCACAGTCAGTAATTGTCATGAGCAGTAACCCCATTAGGCTGTTGTCTTAACTCCATGTTACAACATCTCTTTTTAAAATAGTGCTTTCCAAAGACACCATTATCCTTCAGTTGCAACAATCACCTGTGTATTTATTAACTAAAAATATAATGAGAGGTACTAGCCCATATTAAAGTACAATAATACAGTGTCAGAGCATTTTGGACAGACCTGGACTGGTTGAAATGTTACTCAACACCTCCTCCCAGCAGTGTGCAGGCTTGAATATTCCTGCTCAGTGCTACCCTCCTTCATTCCCCTCCTTACTCAGACTAACCCTGACTTTCATTCACCTCTAGAGGTGACACTAATTCCTGGATGCCTGCAGAAATTGAACCAGATACCCCTGGGACACTTTGGGGCAGGGAATGGCTTCTTCTACTTCTGGTGAAAATGACAACTGCTCACAGCTCCTAATTTCCACTGCAAGGAAAAAGGAAAGCTTTAATCAGAATAGGGGCAGACAAGGGAAGAAGTTCTGAGCCTCCCCAGGGTCAGGGCAACAGCTCCCCAGGGAAGGCAATGCAATGGTTACCCCAGCCCACCCCAGAAGTGCTGCAGGGCAGCTGCTTTGCCCTGCTCCCCCTGCCAGCTCCCAGCCTCACCCCTCCTTAGGGGGTGCTGTCTCACTGCTCTCATCAGCTGCAACCTTGGGGACCCTTGGCAGAGCATCCACCCAGTGCCAGGCCTGGAGGGCAGGGCACTGCTTTTTTCTCCCCCTGTCATGATTGCCTGTTTCTCTGGACTGCAAAAATGGGTTTAAATCACTGCAAGCAGCGAAGAGCCTGGACCACTCTATCCCACTCCCTAGGCAAGCATTTTATCACCAGGTTGTATTTTCTACAAATAGATACCGTATATTATACTCAACACAGAGTACAGCAATCCCTCTTCAAGCCCTGGTGAGAAGAGCAGTGCTGGAACCTTGGTCTAGGACACAAATTAGTCCCATATAACTTTCCATGCTGAAGGTGTCACTGGCTGCCTGCATCTGTGCTGGGCAGTTCTGGCTCAGGAAGTGACAAGTCTTTTGGTGCAGGGCTGCAGAACATGGCTGGTTTTTTGTTTGCCTCTGTGGCTTTCCCACTGCTCACAGAAGAAAGCCTTTATCCCTCAGTAAATGCAGAGCTGAACTAATACATTGTCAAGGATTCCTTGCAAAAGCACAGTTTACTTCTCAAGATAATGCTAAAGATTCCCAAGTGTAAGAGCCTGCAACAATATGTAAAACATTTTAAATATAATGCAGTGAATAACCACAGACTTTCCATAACAATCATCATTTAGTGAATGTATAAATAGAATAAAAGCAATATTGAAGCTAATAAATGACCTCTGACACCAAGAACCGATTGCATTTCATATTACTTTACTTAACTGCCCCCTCCTTCCCCCACCAAACAGAAGCTTTATTGACAAAATGTGCTCTGGTGATTTAGTCTGTAGACTTAAAGAATGTGCAACTCTGGGAAAAACTGAATTATGGATTCTATTTGTCAGACAAGGAATGGCATGTAATAACTTAATGAACTAGAAGCTTATTAGTTGTAAAAGAGAGAAGGCGTTGTCTATCAATCTCTTTTATTTTTTATAGCTCAGAAATGTTCAGGTGGATAAGCATCAAATCCATTTCACATTTATTATCTTATGAATACCAGTATGTGCTAGAATCTCAACAAGCTAAAAAAATATATCTCAGCCTCTAGTTTAATGTGCATTTTATTAGTCAGTTCTGGAGGCTCTATTTGAAACCCAAGTCATTAGAATATGTGCTCACATATTTGGCACTTGCACACAAGAGCTACCCTGGTTTCATCAAACCTGTGGAGTGAAAGGAATTCAAACACAGTGGCAGTGACACTGACAGTAACAACTGTGTTTCAATAGCTATTTATTGCTCTATGGACACATAAATACAAAAGGACAGTAAGATGATTTTAACAAGAAACTTGGAGAGAAACCAACCAGCCTAATATAAAATGGAAGAATTGAATCCTTGGTTGTTAAAGAAGTTTTCTCCACTTTGAAAAGTACAATAATTTACTTCACTTAGACTTTCCTGTGGACCTATTTATTCTGCACGATGGAGTGACATTTGAATCATGATATTATGTGTGAATATGCACAAAAATTACAACAATAAGGTAGTTTAAAGTCCATTAGATTTTAATCCATAATATCACTCTTAGCTGATATTATGTCTTAAAAATACATGGTAAAAATAGGAATTAGCCCTAAATAAATACATAAAACCCATGTGCAAGTAAAAAAAAAGTTACATAAAGCAGGAAATTCTAAGTTCACGCTAATGCATACAGAGGTATATGTAGAACAAAGCAGTCAGGTTCTGATCTATCAGCCCCAATATTTCATGTGCTGCATAGATCCCTGTGTAATTGCAATTTTAACCCTCCACAAGATCGATCTGCTTGCTTTGATTTTCTTCTCCAGAAATAAAAATAAGCAAGGAAAGAAAATCTGCATTAATTTATGCCTCTCGTAGGCTCCTGTGGATGCCTTTTTTGGTTTATTGGTTTGTTGGGGTTTTTTTTGTGTGGCCAGCCTAGCAGCAGATGTCTTACATACATCAGGCTGTTTAGAAGAACAGTCCTAGCCATTCCACTTAATCAAGTAATAGCACACTATTGACATATTAGACCAATTTAATACATTTGTTTTCTTTATCCATTTACATTTCATCTCAAAGGTCTCCAGTACAATGGGATTTTGAACTATTTGCGCTGAGCACAATCGAAGGGCCAGTAATCCAATAATTTGATTTTCTTGCTGCAGAGACCAGGAGAGAGGGAAAAGCATCTTTCTCTTGCTCCAGCAAGTGAGCTGCAGGCCTGCATTAGGCTTTTAGCTTCCTGTGTAAAACATACCCCAAGGGCAACAGAAGGCCACTTAAACACAGCTTGGAGGGCACCACTGGAACATGGCTGTGGCACGTTGGCTTTCTGCCCAGGAGTAAATTCCAACCATTAGCATCAAACACTCATCCTGAAGCTCTCAAACTGAAATTAAATGCCATCTATCAAATGAATAAACAATAATAAAGTAGCACAAGTAAATTAAAAAAATAAATTGCAGTAATTTATACTGTGGATCATCTGTTCTGGGTTGCTGTTCCAGACTGTTCGCCTCAGATTATCTTTCAGCCTATTTTTTCACTATTAGATTTTTGTACATGTAAAACAGCCCTTGATACACAAATTTAATTTATTCATGCTCTATGCTACTCCTACTAAAAAATAGTTTTAAATAAGGCTTGTTTTTCCTATGCAAATAATTTTGTTTAATTCTGCTAGTCATAGGTTGAGTCTACATGAGTTGTGTCTAAACAAGAATACAAACAACAACAATTAAACATGCAAAAATGTACCTTTAGATATCTCAGCTGGAGCTGCACATTCTGTTTTAGGCAGTCCAGGAAAATTTCAGCCGGCTTCAGAATTGGAAAGCTGTGAATATAAAGTGAATTATCCCTTTAAAAGTGCTCAAAGGAAAAGCAACCAGTAGTTTGGGACAGATTTTAAAAGGAAAATTTTTAATAAGCAGAATTTTATTACCTATCTGAAATTTTTGCTATAGTGTCCTGGCTAAAACTTCACTTTTTTTGAAAAACAAGAAAAAAAACAAACAAAAAACCAACTCTGGGAAACGATTATGCTTTGTCTGAATCACAGCTATTACAGCAATAAATGCAGCCTTGTGCTGAGATGGGACAGTATTGCAAAGGAGAGCAAAGGGAAATATCTCACTTACTGAATATTAGTCTCATTTCCCAAAACAAGTTGACTCTTCCCAGGAACTTCTTTGCCAAAATTTCCTTAGGGCATGAAATAATTGGCTATTAACCAGTGTGTTCTTGACCCAAAGAATGGAGCAGAAAACATGCAAGTCTTGTCTGGATTACTAGAAGAAAGAAAAGAGAAATTAGAGTAGATGCGCGCTGCCGGAGCCCGTGGCTCTCTCCATTTTCCCGTTGTGACTGGAGGCTTTTACCTGCATTTATAGCAGGGCAAAAGACCTGAGGAAAAGAGCAGGCAGGAAAGAGGGGAAGGCAAACTAGAACAGCACAACCTTCTCCCTTTTCAGATTTATTTTCCCCTGCCTGCTTGCCCTGCATTTAGTGTGGGGCTGTGAAAAAGGAAGGCTGCCAGCTCCATAGCATCGTATTGCCAGCATAAAGGGCATCCTGTCTCAACCCGAGGCAGCAGAGAACTTATGAAAAAGGGCCTGCACCCTAAGAGGAAAAAACAGCAAAATCTTACTTATCATAAATGCTGTGCAGTCTTCTGAACAAGTGATAGTTTCCTTTTTTCCCCCTTGTACTTGGGATCACCTGGAACTCACCAAAACCTCTGAGGTGCCCTGGGTGCTGCCCCAGCGCCCCGGGCAGCCCACGGGAGGAGTGGCTGAGGACGCAGCGTGTGGGGACAATTCCCATGGCCTGGAAGGATCAAAACAAGACATTAGTATGCACCAGGCAGAGCCAAGGCTGAGCCTGCTGCTAATGAGTGCTGCACTGAGGGCTCAGGCCATGGTTTTGCTAAATCCTGTGCTCTTGGTACTCCTGAAAACACCACATCAACAGGCAGTGAGACTCACACACCTGCCTGAGAGCAGGGCAGCATTACCAAAGTGCTGGGGCAGGTGTTTGAGACACTGAGAAAGTGTCTGCCCCTGGATGTCAGCTGCTTCAGTGGAGTGTGCAAGTCAAGAAGTCCTCCTGGGGCTGGTTGGCCTCTGTTGCATCTGCCCTGCTGCTGGACAGGTGTGTCTGGGCAGGGTTCACAGCCTGGTGCTGGTTCATCGTGGTTCACAATGATCCCCAGTAAGTGCCTGTACACTACAGGGGACAAACAGAAGCCACAAAAGTTCTGGGATGAGCTGTGATCCCGCTGGCATCACAGCAATGCTGTGCACTAGGCTGTAAGGAAGAGAGGGCAGTGGTCAGCTGCCATGGAGGCTGCCAGGGATGGATATTCAGGAAGCACAGGACAGGACATTAAAGCTGAAGGATCCCTTGATGTGAGAGAGCAGCTGAGGCACATGGAGCTGTCTGTGCCTTGGGGCAGGTGATGAGCCAGATGCCAGCTGGCAGCCAGGACCAGAGGGCAGCCCATGGTGGGTGACATTGTGGTCAGTGTCTGCTGCAGGCCACCTGACCAGGAAGAGGTAGATGAGGAAAAAACTGAAAGCATCCTCATGCTCACAGGACATCAAAGGTCAGAGCACTGCAGGCACACCGAGTGCTGTTGATGAAGCAGCAGAACACACACACACCACAATTTGCTGCTGCTGGACCCTAGCTTGGCTCCAGCTACCTTAAACAGTGCCTCTCCTGCCCTGCATAACCACTCCTGTGCCCTTCAAAGGATGGTGAGCACTACCTGTACAAACCTCCTCAGCAGTCTCCATGTTTCCTCATTGTCTTACACCCCACAAGAAGGTTCTGCAGCAGAAAGAAAGTTTCAGTCCCCCTCCAGCCTTAGCCTGCTGATCACTGTTTGATGCCCTGAAAGTGTAACACATGCAAACAGGGTGCATTGGCTGCAAATTTAGAGAAAACATTTCTTTCCATGTGGGCAAAGAGGAGGCTGTTGGCATAGAAAGTGTGTGTGTACATACACCTGGTTTAAATAAAGCTCCCCCATGATTCCAGGTTGGATTTCACTATTTCACTCTATTTCAAAAGCCTTCACCTGCCATATATCCCAAAGTGTCTGAATAGCAAGAAAGGGGTTTGGAAAAACTTTGCTGACTACTGTAAAAGGAGGAATAGTATCCCAAAGACTGTGCTTCCCCATTCCTACACCTGTGTGGCAGGAGTTCCTCTGATTTTCTTGCAGTCAGAATTCCCTGTATCACAGCATATGGCCTGCAGAACCAGTTTTGTCTCAGTTTATAAACAGTTTTACAATATCTTACAGTGGTGGAAAGATTCCACAGCAAGCAGAAAGTCCTATGGTACATTCTAGGGATATGGGATCATTTGTAGAGAATTTGAGGGAGAAACTTTAATATATTGGGAAGAGATTATAACTTCAAACACAAATTAGCACACTTAATTTGCTCTAAACCCTATGTCCACCTTTTCAGATTCCATGAGTGCCTCAGGATCTTTCCTCACAACACTCTTGCACACACCTATATAATACCAGTGCTCTGCTTATTCTGTATTTCAGTAACTTAAACACACGACAAATTCTCTCATGCTGCAAATTTATCTTCATTGAGCTATCTTTTGATCTTGGGCATTAACTCTGATCAGCACTAAGGCAGAGAAAGTCTATCCAATTAGCAGATGAAGCCTCAGAAACTCAGGACACAGCACCTCTGCTCCACTGCCTTCCAGGAGATTTGACCTCAACAAACACATTAGATGAACCCAGCCACAGCTGGCCTGCTCAGATGGCATTTTGCCAGTTAGCAAGGTAAAATTTGCTTTTGGGAGGTGCCAGAAAAGGATGGATTTAGGTCCATAACTTGCTAAGGTCTGTTAGTACAGCTTTCTTCTGACTCTAAGCAATCACATAAAACATCTTGACTTTCTTAGCATAAAAGCAACTCCTTATCAGACATTCCCTTGTATGGACTCCAAAGAACAAATAACCAACTTGTTTTCTAACATCTGCAAAAACAAATTATCTTTCAAAGGAGACTGGGTTTGTGCTCTTGTGTTCTGCTGCCAATGTCATCAAGGAAACTTTCACTCAATGGTTATACTTGGAGCAATGACCACCCTATGCTGTGTTTTCCCCTGCTCAGAGCAAGGGGCTTCTGAGCCATTGTCAAGGTTCCTGATCATAGATACCAAATGCAGTTCTGCATTGAATGTCAAATAAACCCACCACTTTGTTTGGTCAACAATTTCAAAGCCACAGGGGCAATCCATGACTCAGCTGCCATTAAAATTCACTAGTTAATTGTGAACAACCATACCTCAGTGCTCTGCACCTCCAGTTAATCTGTTTGTGTCTGTTTGTGTCAACTGATTCCTGCAGCACCCCAAAGATATGAGAGCAGGAATGCCAGGATTTGAGGATGTTCTGAGGGCTGGCTGAAATCAGTGACTCTCCAGATGTTCTTGGGTGCCTGAAGCAGCATCAAATGGGGCTGTACTGAGGAACTCTAAGGTGACAGCAGGTGTGAAATGCCTCAGTGTATTTCATAAGAGTGAAACACAGCTGGGATGGACAAGTAAAACTCCAAGATCTAGTAATGGTCCCAATAATTTCTGAAGCTAAGCTTGACTGATTGTGTGGCTTCATTCACTCAGCACCTCCAGTGGGTCACTAGTGCTGAACCCAGTGGGTGCTCATGTAAACAGAGCACTGAAACACCAAGAAAAATGCAAGGACCTGTGTTCTTACAGTAGCTTCTGCTGGCCTGCCTTTGCCCCATTGGGAATCATCACACTGTGGCTTTGAGGGTTGGTAACAGGAGAGTTTGTGGGTATCAAACATGACAGAAGAGTGGGATCTTCAAACCATGCTCTAAAACTGGAGTTTACCCCACTTTTCTTCGGCATTCCCACAGCAGTCCCTCCTCTGTGCCTCTTCCAGTCTGACTACTATTTTTATTAATATTTTTTGGTGTGACATGATTGATCAGAAGTCTATCTTGTCAGTCTCTGTTCCTTCTTGCTCTTTCCAAGCATTTTACATGCAGTACAACAGATACAAACCAAGAGCCAGAGCTAAGATGAGAAGAAAGGGATCATAAGAACAGAAGAAAAGAATCAAGAAGAAAATCCTGCAGTCCATGGAGAACATTGCCATTTCGTGACTGAAGTGAGTTGTACAGCAACAGGAAAAAAGCCACAGAAAACTTCTTTAATCTAACAAGGAGCAAGGAATGCCATTAGAATGAGAAGAGCCATGTTATTATGCTGACATTGTAGGGCCTTTCTTGCACTTGCTCAAAACCCCTTCTGCCTGGATTATTGCTAAGGGTTAAGAGAATTGAATTTTACCAAAAATAACTGAGAACCCAGTTATTTCTGAAGAGATGTGGGAGAAAGGGCTGGAAGTGAATGCAACACAAGGAAACCTGGAATGGGGAGGAGGACTACAAATACAAATTTACTCCCCTGCAAAATCAATTCATCTAAAATTCAGTAAAAGAACAAGATGATATCTCCCTCCTCCCTCCTACAACACATTCTATTCTTCATGTATATTGACATTGAGGGGTAAGCATGATAAATAGCTCTATTTTCAGTAACAAAAAGAAGAAAGTTATGAGACTGACTCCAGCCTCAAACCTTGCATGGTCTTCTACAAGGAGACTGTCTCTGCTGGCAGTGCTAGGCAGGCTTTGGGGACCCTCTTTAGGGACACAGAGGGGATGTTTTTGCTGGCCCACAGACAGGTCACTTAACTATTGTTATCATATCTATACAGAAATGTTTTCATGCAGCCAAAAGCCAAAGGAGAGTATTTACCTTTCTGAATCAGCAGTGGGGTCCACATTCATTATGGGAACTTGAAAATAATAATAAAAAAAAATGGCTTCTGAAACTGCCACCTTTTTAAAAGAATTTTTAAATGGTTATGCCCTAAACTAGTTTTTCCTTTACTCTCCAAACACAGTGTAGCCAACTGAAAATCAAATTCACATTTAGTGCTTAAGCAGTGAATAATGTTAGCAGTCGGTTAAACAAAAATAAAGATTAACTGTGCAACTCACATTAATATATAGTAATATCTGATGCCTAAATTTTAACACAATGTCAAGCACTATGCTCATTTTTTTTAAAATGAGAATTAGAGTCTGTCTATCAAAATGGCTTTTGATAAACTCAAAAGTACATAATTTTTTTCCTGTAAAGGGAAAAGTGTATCTGAATATACCAACAAAGTTGAAGGTAATTAAAAAGCTTTTTAAAAATAG